AACAGATACCCCACATCATATGTCATCAGGGAATTGCAAATTAAAACAATGACGTACCACTACACATTTATTAACATGGCCAAAATCCAAAACATTGACACCACCAAATGCTGGTAGGATGTAGAACAGGAACCCTGCTCATTCACTGTTGGCAGGAATTGCAAAATGGGACAGCCACTTCAGAAGACAGTTTGTCAGTTTCTTACAAAACTAAACATACTCTTACCTTATGCCCCAGCCATCATATTCCTTGGTATTTACCCAAAGGACGTGAAAACTTATGTCCACACAAAAGCCTGCACATGGTTGTTTATAGCAGCTTTATTCATAATTGCCAGAACTTGGAGGCAACCAAAAAGTCCTTCAGTTGGTGAATTAAACAAACAAACAAATAAAACACATACACACACACACACACACACACACACACACACACAACTGTGGTGCACACAGATAGTGGATTATTATTCAGTGCTAAAGTGAAATGAGTTGTCAAGACATGTAAAGACAGGGAAGAACCTTAAATGCATATTACTAAGGGAAAGAAGCCAATCCAAAAAGGTTACATACTGCGTGATTTCAACTATAGGATAACCTGGAAAATGCAAAACTATGTAGACAATAAGAAAAAATCAGTGGTTGCCAGGGGCAGGTAAGGGTGGGGGAGAAGAGATGAATGGGCAGAGCACAGAGGATTTTTAAAGCAGTGACATGTAATATCTGTATATAGTATAATAATGGATATGTGTCATTATACATTTGTTCAAACCCAAAGAATGTACAATACTAAGAGTGAATACTGAGGTAAACTATTAACTTTGGATGATAATAATGTGTTGATATAGATCCATCCTTTGTAAAGAAAAATAAAAGTACCATCTGGCGGTTGATGTTGATGAGACAAGCTATACATGTGTGGTGGTAGGGGTATATGATCTCTGTACTTCCTTCTCAATTTTGTGGTAAATATAAAACTCTTCTTAAAAATAGTCTTTTAAAAATACTAATTCACTACTGAGTAGTTCTTCATTCCTAGGTGGACATCTGAATAACAATCCCTACAACATAATGTGATTGTAAGGATTAAACAAGATGAAATTCACAAAGTACCCAGGATATAACAGGTGCACAAGTACTTTATAAATGGTAGGTTTATTTTACACATCATATGTATATATGACTAGTGATCAGAGCAATGTTGAAAATCCACATGGACAGACAGCCTCAATCAAGTAGTCTTCTCTTGCAAACTACTTGCTTCAAACATACAAACAATTACTCACTAGTTACTAGTAAGTGAAGGTGCAGTGCTTGAAGTTTCCTATTTCAGGTGTTCCTGTCTTTTACTCAGCCAACTCAAAATCTCCAGGTTGAAGACTGCGCAAGGTGGAAAGGAGTATGACAAGAGGAAGGAAGAAAGAAGTCTATGGAAGCTACCATGTGCCAGTTCCTTTGCTACCCCCTCTCTTGTTTCATCTTCACCAGAATCCACATAACCGAGGCAGAATTCCTATTTTTCACTGACGAACTTGGGGAGGTTTAGAAAAGTTAAATACCCTGCTCAAGTTCATGCAACTAGTTAAGGGTGAAACCGGGATGTGAGCCCAGGTCTTCCGATGCCCAGGTCCTTCTCAGCCCTCCCCGTGCCTCGCAGTGTCTCCATCTCCACCACCGCAGCCAGACAGCCCATCTTCCACTTCACTGGGTACTCGTGTTTTCCTCTTTAGGCTCAAACTCCTTCCCCTGGCAGCAGCCAGCCATTCCAAGACACGTGATAGTTACTCACTTCAGAGTGAGCCACAGGTCTTTCCTGGCTGGCTTTGCCAACTGTTCTCTTCTAATTGTTTCTGGGGGAGGGGAAACCCCCACATTAATGGAATTCCAAAAAAGAATGTTATGGTAACAAAGCAGGGAGAAAGCTCAGACAATAGGAGGAAATGTTGAAAGATTCCCTTTCATCTCGCAACGGCAGTCAGTTTGGGGCTGGACATGTCCACTCCTGGGAACAGAATCAGAGGGCAGAGGTTCCCTCCCCCTCCCCAGGAGGAGCCCACATTTTGTGAGTGCAGGGTTACTCTTCCTTCCGTTTTTTAAAAATATTTTTCTAACCAGGTCTCCGGAATTGAATATAAACACGGCAAGGGTTGTTTCATCTTTTCCAAAACAGCATTTCGGGCTCCAGCCTTTATCTAATGCCCCTGTGGAGAATCTGAGTCTCTCGGTAAATGGACCCATGCTCTGAATCTGGAGAGAAGGAGGTGAGACATAACACAATGCATAAGCTCTGTTCTGGTCCCGTTTTATCTGGAAGAAGCTCAGAGAGAGCAAGCCTGAGGAAAACAGGAGAGGCTCCTCGTTGGTCCAGGAGCCTCAGCTGTGCTAAGAGAATGGGGTGTGAAGAGAAGAACATGGATTTGGACTGAAATGCCCGCTTTAGTATCCTGGCTTCTGCCTCTATTAGCAAGCGACTCAGCCCATCTGATTCTCAGTTGCTTTAGCAATGCTATGGGGACGATGAGAGCCACCGCTCAGAGCTATTGTGAGCATTCAAATAATAACCGCCCCGCCCCCCCCCTCGCCCCCAGGGTTTGGCTTAGTCTCTCTCTGGTGGTACTGGAGCTGGGTGATAGGTGTGGTGATCCCACCTCCACCCCAGCAGGAAACAGAAGCTTTCAGTGTGAGCACCTTGGAGCAGCTGATAATGCGAAGTCAAAGCTTTGGGATCCCCAGCTTACTTATAAGCTGAGTGATAACTTTACAGACGACAAAAGTTTCCACCAATGGGTGCACCATTCTCTTTTCCATTTTCATTTTTTTTTCTCTAAGAAAAGAGAATTGCCACAAGCAGCGCAACACAGATGTCTGGGAAGCTGGGGGCTGACAGGAATGAGGAGGAGGACAACCAGTGGGAGGCAGTTGCTGGGAGACCAGTCTGGCTGAAGCAGCTGGGTAAGCCAGCAGAAGCCCCCTAAAACCTGGCTCAGGCATCCCCTCCTCCAGGAAGGCCACCCTGACCACCTTCCCTCAGTCTGAGTTGGCTGTCCTCAGGAGCATAATACTAACACCCTGTGTTCAGAGTACAGTATGCTGTCATTTGGTCTCTCTGTGAGCTAGTGATGGGATCTTACTAATCTTGTGAACCCAATGGCCAGCATGGTGCTTAGCACCCAGTACTTTTGCTGCAAGCATTAAACGCTGTGGAATGAATAGGTGTCTAACTGATGGAGTAAGCCTGAGTTCACCTCCCGCAATGGCAGTGCCAAGCGGGTGCTATCCCTCACTGGGACACAGCCAGAAACAATGTTCACAACTGGGGTGGAGGTCACCACATTGGGCTGCAGAAACCATCATGGTCACGGCAGGAAGGACCCTTGGATGAGGAGGAAAAGCAGGACCCAGAACCTTCCTTCCCTCCCTCTGCCCTCACCAGAGAAAAGTAGACTTGGCAGCCTGCTTTCAACCCATAAGGCTTATGTGCAAACCTGAGCTCCACGCCAGGAAGAACCTGAGGTGTCAAGCAGGGAAACTGAAGTAGGTATGCAGAAATTTAAAGAAGGCAGCTTGATATGAGGAAAGAAAGTTATAACAGATTATTAGGATGCCAGGACAGAGTAGAGTTGTTGGCAATAAAATTGGCCCTTGACCCAAAGGACTGATGCTACTCAGTCAACTAAGAGAACACAGGATGGCAGGGGCAGACATGGGGAATGCCTTCACAGCAAAAATACCCAGGCTCTGTCCAAAGGCTATCAGCACAGACCTCTGGGGAGCTATGTTTTTATTAACTTCCTCTATGGGACTGTGTAATTACAGGCAATCAGAAGAAGAACACTATTTCATTCTGAAATTATATCTCTCCTCCCACTGCCAAAAAGGCGAGATGACCCTGTGACTTAAATAGAAAAGTCTCCATGCTAGGACTTGTGTCGAAATCAAAGATCCAAAGATGAGTAAGATGGGGGTCCTTGTTTGTCTGGGTTCCTTTAGTATGTGAGCGAGGTGGAAGCAGGGAAGAGAGGAGACAATGAATAGCCTGCTCAGGAGAGAATATATGGTAAGCTGGCCAAAGGCTTCCCTTGAGGAGCCTTAATCAAAGGAAGAGAAAAAGGGGTGAAGTCCAGATTATTTCCATGACATACGTCATGATAGTTGAGAAGCACAGATAGAGGGCTGACAGGTATAGATCAAGGTTTCTCAACACTTGACCCTATTGACATTTGGAGCTGGATGAGTCTTTGCTGTGGGGGCAGTAGTCCTATGCATTGTAGGACATTAAGCAGCATCTCTGGCCTCTACCTTCTAAATGCCAGTGACAACCAAAAACACCTCTAGACATTGCCAAATGTCCCCTGAGGGTGAAATTACTGAACCCACCCCATACTGGTTGAAAACTACTGATATAGATGAAGTGTGAAGTTTACAACAAAAGTGCGGGACTAGGTGTAGCTTCCCAGTAGAGATCTTGGAACAGAGGAGGTGGCTCCAGACAACACAAGGCTCTAGTGCAGCGGTTCTTAACCTGTGGGTGGTGACCCCCTTGGGGGTCGAACGACCCTTTCACAGGGGTCACCTAAATACATCCTGCATATCAGAAATATTTACATTATGATTCATGACAGTAGCAAAATTACAGTTATGAAGTAGCAATGAAAATAATTTTATGGTTGGGGGTCACTACAACATGAGGAACTGTATTAAAGGGTCATGGCATTAGGAAGGTTGGGAACCACTGCTCTAGTGACATCATGAAAACAATTATTATTAGACTATGTCTTTTCTATACCTCAAAGACACCTATAAAGATGAGCCACGTACAGAGAGAGAGAAAGAGCTGAAACCACATAGTATGTGAAAAAAAAACACAACACTTTACTCTGAATCTAACCCAACTATAATATGAAATTGAGCACCAGATTTAATTCTGACTTCCTTGGAAGCCAAGTTAAATGGGAAATATGAGGAATTCTATAGCTCTTGTTTTCTGATGAAAGGAAGCATACCTTTTTTAATATCTGAGGAATCCCCCTTTCCTCCTGGACTTTTTGTGGCATTCATCAACAGGTCTTTGTAGAAGGATTATCTAAAAACACAAGGAGCAGACAAATAGCAGTGTAGTAGTCAGGAGGGTAGAGAGGAATCTTTTAGAAAAGAGCAAAAAGTCACATTTTTTCTTTTATGCAACAAATATCTATTGAGCACTGTCTACATGCCAGGCATTATACTAGATATAGGTGGTATGTAGTTCTATAGATATTGGAGGTATATGTTGAGTAAGAGAGAAAGAATCCAGTTTTCCTAGAGCTTACATTCTTGTTGGTTCTGAATAAACTACTTAGTTGTGGGTCCTATAACATGTCATTTCACCTTGTAGTGCCTTCTTTATCTGTAAAATGAAAATAATACCCACCTACAGGGCTAGACTGACAATGTAGGTGCACCCTGAAGGTTTAAAATGCTTTGACTACTTGTTTATTCATTTTGAAGAAAGAGGGCTTATTGGATGAGGGAAGAGCCGAAAAGGAGGACCATGGCAGGTCTGCCATGTAGAATTGTCTCCATGACAATGTATGTAACAGGGCTCGTGTGTGACATACACACACACTATACATAATGTACACGGTATATGGAAGCAGTGTGCAACCTTACAAGCATGCATGGTGCCCGGGATGGCAGCATCCCACCAATTCTCCATTCAGCAAAAGTCCTGCAATCATTCCCCATCTCTCATGGAAGAAAGGTTAGAACCCTCAGGGCTCACACATCAGCCCAGGTAACTCATGTAACTCTTCCTTCCAGCAATATGTTCCACCTCAGAGGAGCTCTGGGAAATATGTCTTGTGCTTCCAGTGATGCTTACTACGTAATGCCTTTTGAAGACAAGTGGACTGGGTCCAGCTAGCTAGCTCTGCTCACTTCTACCATTTGAAGGATTAAATGAAAAAAGAAGGTGTAAAGAACCTGGAACATGGGACCCACTCAACAAGAGAGTCCTCACAATCTCCATCACCCTCATTAAAGGTTGTGTGAGAAGTAAATGAGGTGAGGCAGAGGGACTGGTGCTATCTAGTGTTCAGTGCCCAATAGATCGCAGGCAGTATCATTATCGTCAATGTTATCAGCATTGACAAAAAGCCAAACACTTGGCAATCTAGAGAGCTAAGGGTCTAAAGCTGCAGAACACACTATGGAGAAGTGAGGCTCAGGGGCAAGCAGAAACCATCACAATTCCAAGAGTTCTGAGCACAGGCAGACCCTTACCCACAGCTTGTAAAGGAAGCAGACCCTCCCCTACTCTCCCTACCCAGCCAATGTTATTTTCTGGGTCCCTTTAATTTGGAGGCTGTTGGGGCCATATCCTGCCATCAATTCGGGGGCTGACTTCAATGAGCATTCTGTGCAGGGCTGGAGAGGGGCAGGATGCAGCTTTCTCCCAGCAGACCCTGATACAATAGGGTTTTCTACTGAGATCAATGGATTAATTGCAAAGGCTCAGTTTGGGGCCATAAGGAGATGCATTGTTTTCCCATAGTCAGTAGTCAGGGCCAGGCTGGCCAAACTTCATTTTTGAGAAGTCAGGGAAAATGATTTTGTAAAAAGGGGTGGGGGTGGTGGGGCGCGGGAGAGTAATTTTGCTCATCTCACTAAAGGTCAGTAACAATTAGAGTGAAAATTCAGAAGGCACATTTGTTCTCTGACTGAGGCCCTGTCTGGAAAATTCCATCCAGAAACAATTTGCTGCCTTTCTTCCCATCCTCCCCTCCTCCACAAGGCTCTCTCTCCACTAATGCCCCTGCCTGCCCCACTGTCCCCACCCTATTGCTCCTCCCTCCACATGGGAAACTCTCTCCCCTGGAAACAGCCTGAATGTTGAGAAGGGAGAAGTGACCAGGGAATCCTCCTTTCCCTTGGAAGTTGAAGGGGATTCATTCCTTTCTTCATGGAGTTGTGGGAATGTTTACCTAGTTGGGAGTGGAAAAGTCTGGGCAGACCAGAATTAGAGCTCCAGTTCTGACATAACAGCTGATCAACTTGGGAAAATTCAACTCTCTGAGCATCCATGGTGTCATCTGTAAAATGGAACAGCACTTTGGACTTCCAGGGATTCCTGGGACAATTTAATGAGATGTGACATGCAATCTGAACCAGAGTCCCTGCAGCTCAAGCACAAGGCTAACCACACCTGAGCTAAGAGGCTCGGATCATGTCATTTCTGTGTGTGGAAACCTGCCATGATACGCCTTTCCCACAGCACCAAGGCCATATCTGTTTACCTGGCATTCAAAACTCTCCCCTATCCAGCCTTATTCCCCACCCTTTTCACCCCTCCCTCACATCTCTCTGCATAATCTGTCCTTGCCTCAATCTCAGCCATGGTTCTGACTCTGGACTCTCGATTCTGGAGTGCACATGTTGACACCCAACCATTCTAAGGCTAAGACTCGTCAACTTCTCTGAAAAGTTTGATTCTGTCAGATGTAATGCATTGATTCTATTCTCCTTACACTGAGCACCATGCTTCTAGACTCCACACTCCGCTTAGCAATAGTTCTCCGAAGCATTCATGGATTCATTAACACTTAGAATCAAGGTCAAGAGCTCCAGCTCTGGGGTGGAGACTCTGTGGGTTTAGAACTCTGTCCCACTTCTTGATAGCTGTGGCATCGTGGCCTTTCTGTGCCTCTATTTCCTCGTTTGTAAAATGGGAATAATAATTGTATCTACCTCAGAGGTTTCCTGTAAGGCTGAGATAGTACCAGTAACATCCTTCCAAGAGTGCTTGGCATGTGATAAGCGCTCAGTAAATACTGGATGGAATTAGTACTAAATCCCTAGTCTGTTTTAGGGCCTAGGGATGCAATGATGAGTAAGACATGCTTTCCTCCAACAAGTATTTCTTAAGTGCCTTCTATATGCCAGGAACTGTTACACTTCTAGAGGGAAAGGAAGAGGAGTAGAGATAAATAATAAAAAAAATAGATAAACAAGAAAAATGTCATCCTGTAAAAAGTGCGATGTTGCTAATTAAAAGATGAGGGGGTGTCACTGAGAGGTTCCTTGAGCTTGTAGCTTGCAGGCTTCAGTGTCATCATGCCCTGGAAGGGTGGTCAGTGCTGGAGGTACATCAGCTGCCCTGACTTGCTTTCATTCCAGAGAAAAGGGGACTCCTGTGGTTCATGCCAGTCCCTCCATGCACCTAGCTCTGTACCCCACACATAGTAGATGCTCAGTGAATGGGGACACTGAATCCGAACCTTAGCTCTCACTACCTGTACAGATGAGCAAGGGCTCTGAGAGGGAAGTGATTTAGGTGCAGAGGTTGGTCGGTGATATAGGGGTAGGGATGTAAGGAAATTGGGTAATGTTCTGATTTGGGTGGCAAATACCCTTGAATTCCCTTGAAGAAGCTGAAAGGTATGAGCACCACAGCTTTGGGGTCAGGCAAAGCTCGATTTGCATTCCAGCCCAACCACTTCCTGGCCTCAAAGCCTTGCTCCCCTCTTCTATAAAATGGAGCCATGGCACCTCCTCCCAGGGGTGCTATGAACACTACATAAGACGCTGTAGGTAAAGTATCTGCACAGGGTAGGAAGTCCATAAATATTAACTCTCCTCCCCTCCATACAAGAGCCCTAAGACTGAGAACTGCATCCCTGGATTCATCGCTATGTTAAACATCTACAGGAAAAAGGTGGAATATTCTAGTAACCACTCATTCATCTGCCAGTGAAATGCCATAAAGCATTCTTCAAGGAAAATAAAAGTAGGAAAAGAAAGGATGCTTTTAAAAAAATTATTCTCCCTTCTCTACTGCCCGCCCCCCCGCAAGATTTCCAGAACATCAAACGCCCTCAAATAATCAACAATATTTTTGATGATGGAAGTATGAATAATCAAACATATGGATTACATTTCCTTAAATTATGCAGAGCCTACAAACCAGGAGGGAAGGGAGGGTGCTGGTAAAAATGTTTTCACATTTTATTAAAACCTCAAGGTCTGAGGAATACGTTATGACTATTACACACACACACACACACACACACACACACACTTCCCCTGCCCAATTGTCAAGAAAGAAAAAAAGGGCACATTAAGCATTTTTTTTTCCTGCTCAGAGCTCTGTCTTTGCTTTGGTCAGCCCCAGTTCCCAGGTCCCCGCACTAGCCTCGTTCATGGAAATAAGTGGACCACACATCGGTTTCAGCTCCCAAGCTCGGCCAGCTTATTAGTTGTGTGACCTGGGGTGATTGATTCACTTAAATCCCTGAAGCTTGGGATTCCTCTGTTGTGAATGGGAATAATGGCCCTCACTTCACAGTTGATGGTGAGGACCCAGTGTCATGAGACACATGGACATATCTTGGAAACCATACAGTGTCAGGCGGATGTAAAAGACGGAAGTGGCTTCAGGAAGCTGACCAGGATGAATTGTCCGCTGAAAGTGGTTAGCCTCACTGCCCACCTGCAAACTCCAACTCTACTGATGAAAAGCTGTGTGTTCCTGAATAGAAAACTAAGCCCCTCTGTGCACCATTTGCTTATTTGCAAAACGGGATGCTGCTAATAATAAAGGTGCCTACCTCATACAGGGGCACTGAGGGTTAGATCAGTAAATAAGTATAAAGCACTTAGATTAGTGCCGTTGTTTGTTTTGAAAGAGAAAAAAACATGAGGAAGGGAGGAAGGCAGGGCAGAATTGCCCCACTGAAGATGCCCTGGGCTGGATTTTCACCATTTAGTTGTCAGTGTTGGGTATTATCTTTTCCAGGAACTCTTTGTGAAAATGCAAATGCTCTTAAAAGTCATGGCACAGCAATTCAGAGTCAGAGTGTATTTATTGAATACCTATTATATGCAAGGTAGTATTGGAGTTATTCAATCCTTTGGAAAATCTCTGACTCCTTGGAGGGTGGAAGCAGGTGACAAATGGAAAAGAGAAGAAAATGGGAAATGGAGAGAGAGAAAGAGACAGAAGAGCCGCTTCCCCTACCGTGAGTTTGGCATTAGAGAGGCTTGGGTCCATATGTCAGCTCTGCCATGTACCGTGTGACCTCAGACAGTCAAGGACAGATTCAGACA